GCCTTCTGTTCTTCAGGCTGAAGAGTTCCAGGTCCCTCAGCCTTACCTCATATGGCTTGCCATGCAAGACCCTGATCATACAGGTGGCTCTTCTCTGGACTCTCTCAAGCTTTACAACATCCTTGTTGAAGTGTGGTGCCCAGAACTGGACGCAGTACTGCAGCTGGGGTCTTGCCAAGGCCGAGTAGAGTGGAAAAATCACTTCCTTGGTTTTGCTGGTGATGCATCAATTGATGCATGCCAGAGTATTATTTTCCCTACTGACTACAGCATCACACTGCTGGCTCATGTTCATACTGTGGTCTATTACTACCCCAGGTCCTTTTTATTTGTAGTACTAGTCAGATTGGTACTGCCAATCCTGTAGGTGTGTAGGGCACTGTTCGTCCTTGGGTGGAGCACTTTACATTTCTTGATATTGAACTTCATCTAGTTCCAATCCGCCCAACTTGCCAGCCTGTCTAGGTGCGCCTGTATCTGCAGCATATCTATAAAAATGACCATGCTCCCCTATAACTTAGTGGTTATCTGCCTAGTGCACATATTAAACTTAGGCAGGTTTGCAGCTATCTACAATAGCCATTAGCAGCTCCCAACATAACATGACCCCCCATCTCTGTTTGACCTGTCATGCCAATGGGTTTTAAAACACTGGCACCCCAAGTGACTCATCTCCCAGTTAGAAGAGTCTTGTCAATTCAATCTCACACATCAGTGAGGTGCTCAGAGCATAAACTAGCCTTCAAACAAGCATTTTAAGTGTTTTATTTCACAACTGTGCATGAGTCCGAGTCTGCATGTCACTGGGCACTCGCTGATGAATTCCCATCTGGCCTCCTGCCACTGCACTGAAGAAAACATCAAAAACCTGAGGTCTCACGCTGCTCCCCACCCCCAACACTACTTCTGACACTGCCCTAGTAGTTACTCAATCTGGGAAGGCAAGATACCAACTGATGCTATCTCAGCCTATTGGTATAACTTATATAGTTGGGCAGATTGGACAGATTCTGAGCAATGGCATCTTCTACTTCATGTTCAGTCAATCCAGACTTTCAACAGTAAATGCTGACAGAGTCCAACCCTGGTTTCTCAAGCCTGCTGTTCCCACCTGGAGCAGAGTAGTCACCTCTCCAGCTTATGAGCCTATCCTTGGTCTTCTGCCTTCCCCCACCACGAGGATTATAACCCATATGTTCAGACCACTTAGTTCCACTCTCTGCTTCACCCACTTGGCAGTGCTGCTTCCCACCAGTGCCAAGGCCAAGTACCAGACAAAAGGCACCTCCCACAATGCAAAATTAAGCAAGCTGCTGCTGCTTCCTTTCAAGAAATGAGTGGTTCTTGCATGACCTGAACCAGTGGGGAGCAAGGGCAGGGTGGCCAGTCAGACAACTAGCACATGGGATAAACCATTTCTGCTGTGAGCAAGAGATATCCTGCTGACAGCTGAGATCTCACATGCAAGGTGAAGGTGAATCATGGCCACCTGGCACTAGGCAGGTAAGTCTGCTGAGAGCCTGCCTCATGAGCTTGGTTATACAAGTTTGAATCTCTTCCTGCCAAACAGAAGGCAGCAGCTGTGTCTTTTGCATTCCCTCAACTCCCAGAAACAGGAGGCAGAAAAATAAATAAAATTGCCCACAACCAACAAGAGAATTAACACCATTAAAAATTAATTTCAGTGTAATTACTTAAACATTTTCAGGAGGCTACACCAGGCTGCTATGTGCCCAGCAGTGCAGGGATGACCTTTTGGGCTCACTGCCCCAGGGACTGCTGTCAATTTTAATCATCCTTATCCTGTAGGCTTGAGCAAGACTAATTGAACAGTACAACAGGGGCCTGTTTTTAATCAGGCAGGGACAGGCTTGCTGCTTGACCCCACAGCTTACTCAACTGCCCAGCCTCACCTCCAGCAGTGACAGAGCCAGAACCTGAAGCTGATTCAGGTGACCCGGTGTATGGTGCCAACCAAGGGGTGACAGCATCTCTACCCAGGCAAATGTGCAGGGCTGAGTGTCTTGGTTGTGCATACAAGGTTCTTTGGGTAAATCTGATATCTTTTATTAGACCAGCTCAAATAGTAGGAAAAAAAATCCCCACCTGTCTCTCACCTACTGACCACCTCAATTTACATTTTAACTGGTTGGCTCTCTCACATATATACTGGCCTCTGACTGCTTTACCCCTTCATCCAGGAAGAGCACAGACCATCTGCAGATGCTTTCTCAGCCTGATGAAGGGTGTTTGTGCCTGAAAGCTTGCCAAGAAGAATTTTTCCAACTATTTGAGTTGGTCTAATAAAAGATATCAGATTTACCCAAATAACCCTGGTTGTGCATTGCTTTTTATTGGCAAGAAAAGGCAGGAGTGTCAGGTATGAGTCTAGACTCTAAAGCACCAAGCTTCCCTGCAGCTCCAGGCTGGAAGATTACCGCTTTTGTCAGAGTCTTTAGTCCTTCCAAGAGCACCATCTCAGCTCTCTCTCAAAGAGAAGAGCTCCTTCCCTCCTACTAAATAATTACACTACAAAACCTGATGCACGCGTACTAAGAACTTGAAAATGCCCTCATGTAGTACATTTATTCGAGTTTTGGCAATTCTCATCACAGGCCCTCTGGCCAGTACCCTCTCTCTTCTGAGATGGCCTTGTCAACCCCAAGCTCGTCTTTCAGTTACTCCATCTCCATTCCCTGCTCAACTGAATGAAGGCCATCCCTGTCTCTTCCATGATATCTCGTCTATGTTACTTTATCAGATGACACTCCCAAAAAAGATGGAAGATGCCCTTTTAGTACAGGGGTAGCCAACCAGGGGTAAGTGTACTCCTGGGGGTACTTGGGAAGGCCCTGGGGGGTATGCATGGGCAGGCAGGAAGAGAACAGATATCATACCGGTTCATTTCAATATGAATGGACCATCCAAAAATCCCCTCATAGGGAGCTCTGCTAAATCTCAAAGTTTAAATCAACATAATTAAGAACAGAGCAGGCCCCCCTTTCATTCAAACCGAGTCCCGAAAGTGTTCAGCAGAATAGCTATATGGCTACAGATGTTTAATAACTTCAGAGGAGAGGGAGGCTGGATTTCCTCTGAACCTGTTATATGAGATGGGGATCCAGCAAGGCCAAGAACTATACAAGTTATACCAATAGGCTGAGATAGCATCAGTTGGTATCTTGCCTTCCCAGATTTCCTTCCTTATCAGTTTTAATTAAAGGTACAGACATTGAAAGGAGAGGTCAGCCTGTCCATCTCTCAGAGTGCCACAGAACTTACTACCTTGCTCAGCCAACAAGCCCTAACATGGCACTGATCTTGGGCCCTGAGAGATTCCCTCGAGACAATGGCAACTCCAAAGAAAAAGGAGCGGCCACCTAGAGAGAGAGTTTCAGGAATGATTTAGAAGGGATTTAAAATTCTCCCCACCTTCCATCAGGGTTGGGGTTTTTTTCCCCCTCTTCCTGCTGTAGTCCTCCTTTGGAAACCTGAGTTATGAATCCAAATGAACAGGTACTCAGAAAGGGAAAAAAAATAATACTCATCTGAAAAGCACCTGACACTGATTTCCTGTGCATAAGATGTGCCATGGTCTTAACGCATGCTGGCCTCATCAGGCTTAGAAGTAAATGGCATGCTTGTTGGGCAAGTGGGAATCTCCCTTGTTCAGTGGTGTCTAACTCCTTTTAATCTGCAGGATCTCAAGCTCTCAAACCTTAAAACAGGTCAGTGGTGAGGGACTGAATGTGACCCACTACTAACAGCAGTACTGGGCCAGGGTAAGATGGGGTCAAGAAAGGAGAAATTTCACATCTGCACATAATGGAGGGAACGTTTTCATGACAGACTGATTACCTATACATTCACAACCATGCATATGACGGTGTTTCAGAAAGTAACAGTAATTTCAAAATAAAACCATTTTGCATGCAGCAAGTGGGAAACTACACAGCAGCAGGGAATACTGATGCACCCATCACTTATGCCTACATGGAGAAGTGATGCGGTCCAGTAAATGATCACTGCACACAAAATGGCTATATTTTAAAAATTGCTGTTACTTTTGAAAAACACCCTCATAAATACATAGGCAAACATCTTTGAAATTGTTGAGTATTAAAGTAGCGCTGGAAGCAAGTAGAGAGCATAAGATATCTGGAGTGGTCAGAAATAAAGTACAAGGAGAGAGAGAGAAAGAATGTGAACAATCATACTTGTTAGTTTTTGGTTTTAAGCCTAGTTTTGCTCAGGTGAAAAATGATAATCAAACCATCTCCATCTCTTCTGCTAAAGAAGAGAAAAACTATTGCTATGAAGCCACAAGATAACAGCTCAGGAAAAGAAAAAAAGACAGAATAATACTAAAGGAAATTAAAAACTGCCCCATGGCCCAAGTATATCTGAATGGAACATTTAAAAAAAGGTTGTAAATCCATAATGCCAGGAAAAATAAGGACTCGTGGGATGAAAACAAATCAGAATTACAAATACCCTCCAATACTGACAAACCATCTTATGGATAAATAAGTTAGATGCAGCTTCTCATGGAGGGTTTACAGAAATAAATGGGAATCTGTGCATGTAAATTAAACTCCTAATGAAGCTAGTAAAAGCAAGCAGCAAAGTATTTTCTCCTCTCAACCTTGTACTCTCACTGAACAGTACTGCATGTAGAAAACTCTCCCTCCCCCAAAATAAAAAAGTGACATTCATGCTTAATTGCACTGGAAGTTTCCCCACTTCCTGAAATTTATATGTAGGTGGCATTCAATAAGAGTAGTTTCAGACTAGTCTGTTTTTGTACACATGCAAAATGCATCCTAATCACCTCTGTTCCTTTACTATTAAATAAGAAAAATAGGTCTCATTCTTGGGTGGGTGGTAACAGTCACTGAACACATAAGTGGGCAAAAAAAAAATTGTAAGCAAGCAGCAGTAGCAGAGCATTATATAAAGCCAGACAAACTTGAGCGATTGTTTTTTCCTGGATAAAATTACAAGACATATGAATATTTTATTGTAAGATCTTAATCATTTGCATTTTAACAAACATTTAATACCATGCGCCACAAAACCTTAACTGAAAAAATAATTCTCAGCAGTTAGATGAAGAAGACTGGCATAGATAGATTGGAAATGGCTGATGCAGATTTTGATAAGCTGCCTCATCTCCCTAACATGTGTGAGCAACTCTATTAGAGATGCAGCTTGGATGTGACTAACATTTACCCAAATGCACAAACAGTAAAAAAATATTCAACACAACTTCTACTCCTTTTGCACAACTTTAGCGTGTGCACTCAGACAATTCTTCTGCTGTTTTTTCCATCTAAGCGGTTTGGAGAAAGAAGACTGTATTCTACAGGAGCTAATCTGTCTCTAATCATATCTGCCCTTCATCTTGCACAGCCTGCATCACGCTGTTTCCAAAACAGCATCATAGAAGCAGCCCTATGCTGCTAGAAGAGCCCACTTTCAGATGAAGTGTACAATGGAGGGTCATTCGTTTCTGGTCCTTAGCAATCCTGTGACACTGGTCAGAAGAGAAAAGACGTTAGTCCTGACACACAGCCTACACTAGATACCTACATTCTTCCTGCCTGAACTCCTCCTGCTGCAGTCTCAGACCATGCAGCAATGCTTTGATTTAGTTCTTTTTGGAGTGCTTGGGGGAGAGGGAGGGGGAAGAGGAGGGGTAAAAGACACTGTGTAATGATACCAGCACTGTATTTAAAGGGGTGAGGGAGGAAGAGAGTCAGCAGCTGATTAACCCTTAAAAATATTCATAAGACCGACGACTTAATAAAACAATCCAGAATATATAACAATCCTAACTGCTTCTATATAACAATACAGAACAACCTTATTATAACAAACCTCTGTGGCAGTGGTCTCCAAAGAGGGGTGTACAAGACGATCCACCAGGGTGCGGGAAGAAAATATTAGAACTTCTGTTTATATAAATATACATATACTGGGGGTGCATGCTCAAAATTTTTTTTACTGACAGGGGTGCATGATCAAAAATGTTTGGAGATCACTGCTCTATGGCACCAGAAGAAAAGTTAATTAAAAAAGTACATTAAAAAAAAGTATGCTAACTATAATAGGATTCTAGTCAATTTACTGCATTACAACAGTGAGAGAGTCAGTTCCTGAGGTTGGTACTGTTAAAAGTTAGAGTCGCTATGAACAAGGGTTCAATTTAATGAGGTTGTACTATATTAAAGTTCCCCCACTCCCATTTCATTGTCTGTTGTGGAATTTATTAAGCCCTCCTCCAGGGTGACTAGTGTCAGGCCATTATCTATCGCAGGACACTTTGGCAGATAAACCAAACCTGATCTGTTCTAACAAGCCCTATGTTCTCAGGTCATGTTACTAATTGTAAGGTGTGTTTTAAGGACCGTAACTGAATTCAAACTCAAACAAAATGTCTATGAATTCAGTGAAGCAATTCAAAGAATGTGAAAAATGGTTTTATTGATATTTTCATAAAATACAATAAATATATCAGTTACTCCAGTATATGGGACATTTTAAAAAGTCTGATAAAGAAATGACAACTGCATTTAAAATAGATCCAGAGCATTAAAAAAAATCATGTGGTTTAAGAAATATATATGTTCTTTCCTGTGGGGTCTTAGTCATTCATGCAGTTTCATCTCACACGGGAGCTCTGAGCAGCCTCACATAACCAGCACGACTGAGGCCAGTTCAGCACTGTCCAGAGGTTAATACAGGGGTGAACTCCTAGTACAGAATATAAAGAGAGTCAAAACACCCAGACGCAGACACACAGAGCAAGGAAGAAAAGAGGGTACTTAACTGAAGTGCCTTGTCACAAGGCCAACTCTGGGGATGGAGCATGGCAGAGGCGGACCTAGTTTCTGACTGCATAAGGAGATTTGTTCTATTGTCTTTGGGGCAAGTG